ATTTCACTTGTCATACAGTCTGCTTCCCTGTCATTCCAAGCGGCCACAAGCTCAGAGCCCTGCTCATGGAACTCCTTTGCCAAGGTGGTGCTAGGGATCCAGAACCAAGCACCTGAAGAGAGAGGAAAGTAGGATGAGCAACTGTCCCGGTTTGCCCAGCTCTAAGGGCTTTCCCGGGACACAGGACTTCTGTGCTCAACCCAGAAAGTCCAAGGCAAACCTGAATGAGTTGCCCACCCGATAGAGAAGTAATCATCTTCACCCCCGGAAACACAGCCTTCAGTCAGTAGAAACAGTCCGACTAAACGTAGGCAGACCAGATGTTGTGGACTGTTGACGCTGCTGGCAAGAGTGGTGTTCCTCCGGCTTCTCATTTATTCACACTGAGAGGCACAGACATCTTCCCAAGGTGACACCGCTTGTCAGCAGCCTAGCAGGAAGCAAATTTCCAGTCACACTCCCAATTTAGGGCACTTCCCACTGCATTACATTTGGTTTTTGCTTTCTTGTCCCATTTCTGTTGCTTTTGAAACATAAAATGAGTTCCACTGTCTCTCCTTGGCCACAGATGCAACAATTGTCATAGTTGGAACAATAACAGCTGCTCTTGCCAAAAATACCGGGTACCACTTTCAGTTGCATTTGGGTTGAAATGATGAACGAGTGCTAGCATCAATAGCACTGCTGGAAACCACCTCAATCGATCCATCTGCATCGTGATATGGCTTCCCTTAATAGCAGTTGCTCCTAACAATTTTGAATTGTTTTCAACCAACAAGGGCCTCTTATCCCCTAAATGCGACCCTCATTGGAGGCAGTCACATGCCAAGATGACGTAGCCCTTGGAAAGTGGTGGGAGAGCACCATGTTCCCAACTCGCTCAAGGCACTTGGATTAGGACCTGGAGTGCATGAAAATCTCACTTCTTCTCCCTCCTCACATTCTTCCAAAGAGAAGACTGAAGATGTCGGCTCTACAAATTGGAGTTAATGTGCAAGCCAAACAGTTCTAAGCACTTGACAAATATTATCTCATCTAATCTTCACAATAATGCTTTGAAGGAGGTACTACCAGTTTTCACAAAAAAGGGAAACTGAGGCATGAGGTGGGGGGCAGGAAGTAGAAGAGAAAGTGGAGCTCAAAGTGACAACAGTGGAGAGCAAACCAGACAACACATTTTGGAAAGCCAGAGCAGGAAATAGGTGGAGGAATGTACTCCTGGGTACAGGGAGATCAATCAGGAAGATGAGTATTTGAAATGAAAAGGTGTCATTCTGTTGACTTCTCCATGCAATGTAGATGGATAATTCATTCAATGGCAAAGCAAGCCCCCTGTTGTTCTTGTTAAGTGATATCGAGACAGTTCTGACTCACAGTGACCCTATATACAACAGAATGAAACACTGCCCAGCCCCACACCATCCTCATAATCCTTGCTATACTTGAGTCCACTCTTGCAGCCACTGTGTCAATCCATCTTACTGAGGATCTTCCCCTTTTTTGCTGACCCTCTACCAAGCATGATGTTCTTCTCCAGGGACTGGTCCCTCCTGGTAACACTGTCATATCTTCCCTTCATCCCTCTGGAAGAGAACTTCCCAGCACTGAGAGCTGTGAAGGTCCCTAACTGAGGGGTAAAAAAAGGCAGGAGGTCCTCCCTCAAACACACTATGCTGTTCTACTCTGTCCATGCTGGAATACAACCACTGGGTTCTGGAAAATTCTGCAATTACACACCCTCTCCAATGGCAGCTTCTTCACGAAGCCCATTCTGATCTCCCTAGCCCAATCCTCTGGACCACTTAGTACTTGACCTTCGATACTTAGCCTGTCCCCCTGTAGTTCACTTGGTGAGCTTGGTAGCACTTGCGATACGAAATGAAACACTTGCTTCTGAAGAGGCATGGCAACGGCAAGAGGTGAAAATGTACAGCTGCCAGCAGTGGGTGTTTCCCCCTCTCCCTCACTTCCCCCTTTCCTGTACTCTATCATGTTCTCTCTCTCAACGTATGATCATCTTTTTTCTCAGAAATGGGCCTGGTTTTAGTTCTTCAGTTTCACTGTGATGCTAAAACAATGTGCTTCTAACTCTCAAGAGTTAGTCACACTTTAGAGCTGAGTCTTACCTGTGGAACATAATTATAAATTGCCTTTTTTCCCCAAGAGAGTACTTTGTCCCCAAGAGATGAACATCATCGAACAGATGTTTTACAGGGAAGGAAACCCTTTTAGGTGCTTCGGAAATCAAAGCACATGAACCATTTGTGGCCTATGTTTAAGGCTGGTCTGCTCCCGTGGACAGCTGTAGAGTGTCATTCTTGGGATGTGTAAGCACACTGTGTCATCTTGAATTTTACATGAAGCCTCCAGAATTCTCAACTTGGATGCCTGATATGACACAGCTACTATGCTTTGGGGAAAGGAAATTGCTAATAAGTTCTTCAGAAAGAAACACACTCAAAATGGATAAGAGCCGATTTCAATTGAAGTATAGCTTTTCTCTAATTTTATATGCTGGGCTATAATTGTAAAGAAACAAACATATTCAGGTGCCCCATCAAAACACAGAACTCCACACTAAGGATACAAAAGAAAGGCATAGTCAAGAAATAGGATTTTATTGAAATGTTCTAACACAATGTTGGAGAAACTTACGATTCCATATTCTACACCAGTACAAGTGCTGCAGATGATCTATTCCCAAATGTAGTTGCAATCCTATCTAAAGAAGGAAAGTTACAATCTGAGAATCTAGAAGGTGACTAGTGTAATTTAAGTATGAAGGCAAACAACTTTGGTATATAACTATTTCTCTGGCTGTCCCTGCTCAGATACACACTGAGCCCACCCACATTCAGCTGAGTTGGACAGAATAAAAAGTATTTGGTGGTTCCATTATGTTTCCATACCCCAAACAACAAGGAATGCCAAAGTTCTGGAATTAAGCTGCTCATGAGGCAATCGTCATCATTTTTGCTAAACTGAAACCATCCGAGTTAATGTCCACATTTCTACTGTGTATCTAAGTCCAGTCTAATTAGTTCCTAAGTGTAGTCAAAAGTACTTAAAAATACAAAAGTGGGTGGGGTTAAACTATGATTGAAACAGTAATTTCTTAACTCAGAGAGCAGTGATGCAGATTTTTATACCCATTTTTTTTTCTCTACAGATCATGATCTCAGATAAAACGATTATCTTTAAATCAACTGGTCTTCATTAATGTCAACACATCTACACATGTGTATCAAGCTCATTACATGTGTGTTCACAACTATACAAAGAAACCACAACAGATCAAGACAACATACATTCATCCAATATAAAAGTTACATAGGCTCCTTACACATCTCAGGTCAACTTTCTAGAGAAGAATCCATCTGTATTGCATAGCTGACCTTTTTAGGTTACAGTATCATTCTTCCCCAAAAGCCATTTCAAAGCACAGTAAAATGCTGCAACCACAACTAAAATGCTACTTCCTAACTTCAGTTCAACCTCTGCTGTGGTAAAGCTTGAAAGCTTCAATACTGTGCAAGTCTGTGAACAACCAAAATAGACTTGATTTTCCACTGACAGAATTGTGGTCAGAGAATTTCTTTTCTACGATTTTACAGTTCAGCAGAAGGAGAGATGGTTGCTTATTCTTCCTAGGTTTTGTCCACGCGGGCAAGTCCTCTTCTTTAGGAGCTGCGTTAGTCAGCCAGCTGTGCTGCAATGTGCATCTAACAAAGTCTACAAACGGTTCGATGCTTGGCTTCCACTACAGAGGCAAAGAGTGCCACAGTCAGTTGCCTAAAGACATGCTACCTTCAATTGCTTAGAGCAAAAGAACATTTAATAAAAAAGTAAAGACATAATGTTTAAGTTCGCATTTGGCAACACTCATGAAAATGCGCCTTTTTATTGATGTCAAGAGCCAAATAATAATCAAGTTGGTACATCTGAGGGAGTACGAGGGAGCTGATTTTGGTGGGAATCTACAACATGAAATTGGTGGGAAAACTGCAAAGAACAGCTATCGCTAAAAATACGATGTAAAAGAACAAGATGATAGGACATGAGGCGTACCTCTAAGAACTGGGAGGTCTACCTGCACCAGCCCACGTCCAACAGGGACACGTGGAGGAGAGTGTCAAGGTGGCAGTGCCCTCAGAGACTCCCTCTCAAAATGGTTTCAAGATCAGATCAAATGCTGAACAACATTTTAGAATTTCCGGACATGGAATTCCAGGTAAGAGACAATGATGACATGGTTTTCAGGAGTGGTAATTAAAAAAATGATACTAACGTGAGACAAAGTGTATGTGAACTGCTGTATGGAAAGTGGATTTGCTCTGTAAATGTTCACCCAAATAACAATTTTAAAAAAATGATACTAAATTCCTCGGCCTCTGGTGTGTCTGATTTCTAGGGAAAACTAGATGCGTTAGTGGCCATCTTACACAAAATAAAACTGAGTTCAAATTAAGCACAATAACCAAGGGAATTTACTGCAACCCTGGTTACAAAATAATAATAATAATAATTTACAGTATTATAAAACTTTCAAGGTTCACTCAAAATCAGTGGGGTTTCTACACAGGGTTTTACCCAGATGCCCACAGACATTATCATTATGTATTTACATAACAGGCTTCAATCTGAAGTCACCTTTGGTGACCCTGGAAATACATAACCATGAGCTCCCACAATGAAATGATATACTTGGAACACTGGGGCCTCAAAAGACTGAGAGAACAAAGGAGAAGATCACCTATCAGAACAAGTTAAGATGACACAAACTTTTCTTTCATTTAAAAGCCAAACAACCACTCTCCCCCACCAAAACCAGAAATGAGTGGTCTCAAGTTTTCAAAGGGGGACAAAATGAATCTCAGAGAAAACAACAATCTGATGTCTTTACTATTCATGATCCTGTAATTATTAGTTCTATAGCTAAAAAAACAGACAGACAGACAAAAAAGTCAGAGTGGGCGTGTTCAACACATCGCAACGGAGAGTTATAAGGGCACATGGCTGAACAGGTAAGACACAGATTCACCGTTGTGCGTTCTTCGAATGGCCTCAGCCAAGATCATGGAAATATCGATAACCTAAACACCAACAGGAAAAAACAAAGGAAAGAGGAAAGTGAGGTGTCATGGTCACAGTCACAAAAGCCCTGAGAGCCTAGATACTAAACTCCTCGCACACAGGACACTAAACACAGGCATACCTCGTTTATCGTGCTTCACAAATAGTGTGTGTTTTTTTTTTTTACAAACCAAACGTCTGTGGCCACTTTACTGACTCGATGGCAGTGGGTATGGTTTTTTGGGTTGTGTTTCAAGCAAGTCTATCAGTGCTGTTTTCTCAACAGCATGTGCTCAGGTCGTGTCTCTGTGTCCCATTCTGGGCATTGTCACAATATTTCAAATTTTTTTATCATGCTGTTGCACGCTCAGTTGACTACAGTACAGTGTACACAAAGCTGTGTATGCATTGGGAAGCCAGAACGTTCGTGCAACTCACTTCATTGCAGTATTTGTTGTCTGGAACTGAACCCATAATACCTCTGAGGTATGCCTGGACTCAAAGGGCTTTCAGGGTCAATGTTATCCAAAATCATTCTTGTCTTGGGGCGTTTACTGGTTTTAAATCAAACTTCACTCCATCATTATATGGAAGGTTTTCCTCTTTTTTTTCAGAAAAGCTGCTGACTTGTCTTGTTTGCAGAGCAGGCCTGTGATTATCAAACCTGGGGCCAGCAAACTCCTTTTTCTGTCAAGGACCAGACAATAAATCCCTGCAGCTTTGTGGGCCAGATGGCCTCTGTCACAAACAAGCAACTCTGAGCTGTAGCGTAAGAGCAATGGCAGATGATACATAAATGAATGGGTATGGCCATGTTCAAATAAAACTTTATTTACAAAAACAAAAGGTGGGCCAGACTCGGCCCAGTCATAGTTTACTGACTTCTACCCTAAATTACGGCTTATCAGGCATGATGAAACTATAAGGTAGAGCTATTTTGACCGTTTTCAAATGGGTCTCTTTGTATCACACCAATGGTTTCTCTCCAACCATTTAAGGATCACTTTGCTCCACCTTCATGCCCTCCCAATGGGAACAAAGGTGATGAAGCAACCTGCTGGCGTTCACAGTGATGAACAAACAAAATGGGAACTCAATCTCTCTGCACTATTTCAAGCCTGTGGACATTTAGTCGAGAGGACAAGGGGAGCAAGGTTTGGAAGATCCCGAGTGTAGCCTGCTTCTTACTGGCTTTCTATGGCAATTTCATTCCCTCCCTGTTTCCAAATAGCAAACAGTGACTTCTAAAGGCCTGGATTAGTCAGAGATCTCCCAGGACTGAGAGCCTCATGTTAGGAGACACCGCAGCCTCTGCCCACATGTGCCTCACCAGGCAGTTACACACAGAAGGGACTGGAGGCAGGGACCTCGCTGCTCAGCTCCTCCCACAATGCAGACGGTACCTGAATCTTGGAGCAGTGTCTCATTTTGTCCTCTTGCGGAATTGTGTTTGTGACGACCACAGCCTCAAAGGCAGCATTATTTATTCTGGAAATGGCTGGTCCAGAGAAGATCCCATGGGTCAGGATAGCATAGACTTTGGTAGCTCCAGCTGAGAGTAACCTGTAAAATGGAAGATCAACAATTCAGTATGTGAACCGGACTATTCTAGAAACACTCTCCCCTAGTGAGAAAAAGAGTTGTGCTCCATAAGGAAATGTGTGAAATAAATTGTACTCACGTTCCTCAGCCTTTTTGTAAGTGTTAGCAAAACACCTCATTAGCCATAAAATCAACCTCCACACTATTGAAATTTGGGACCGGATCATGGATGCTGCGGGGGGCTGACCTGTGCACTGTAGAATGTTTACTGGTATCCCCAGTCTCTGCCCACTAGATACCTACAGTAACCCGCGCCCAAGCTGTGTGACTAAAAATGTCTCCCAACATTTCCAGATATCCCCTGGGGGGGGGGAAGCAAAAATCACCCCTAACTGAGAACCACTGGGACAATCCAATGGGGCCAAAATATTCTGACGTGTAAGCAACACACAAACATCACTCATGAGCTATCTGACATTCTTTGTTTCATGCCACGCTTCAAAGCCTAATGCGTGTTACCCTTTCAGTGCATCTCAATTTGGCCCGGCCCCAGCGCCAGGGCCCTGCGGCCACACGGGCTGGTGCGGCCCATGTTCTGAACAGTGCAACCCGCCATCCCCCGGAAGCTGAGTGGAGGGCAGACCAAGCAGAAGGCATCGCCAACATGGAGAAGCCCACAGGCCTGGCTTCCCTTCTGCCCTTGGCTTTCCGGGAGGCACCTTCCCAGAGCCTTTTTAATACACCGAGGCTCAACTCTGAAAGTGGAGATCATTACCACAGGGGCCTGTGGTTTCTTTCCAATCAAGAAAATAATGATAAAAACAAACGGGCCTAGAATCTCCTTTGGTCAAAAAGTCTATTGCCAAGGCACCAGAAATGACTGAGAAAAAACAGGCCTGATGTTTAAAAGCTGCTCTTTTGTTCCCCCTTAACAAGATGCCCTGACCCTTTTAGTCTGCAGTGCCACAACACCCACTTACTTGTCTGCAGCGTGGCAGATTGTGCCACAAGTGTCGGCCATGTCGTCCACCAGGATGGCCACACGATCTTTGACGTCACCCACCAGAACCATCCGGTCCACCTCATTTGCCTTCTTCCTCTCTTTGTGAATCAAGGCAAATTCCACATTCAACCTGTCTGCAATCGATGTCACCCTGCATAAAGACACCGATGGCCATGTTCAATGCAGCTAGTACAAAAACCTGGTCTGGAAACTGTACCTTGGGAGCTCAGGAACCAGTCACGTGTGAAATAACAGAAAGAACCTGACCTCCTTTGTATTTGTAAGCCAGGTGCAGGCTGGGACACGCACTAAGCAATTCAGGGTGGAAGGGTACTTGTGATGTGACCTTGAACTCATAGCAGCTGTACTGGATGCCAGGGAACCTGGACCACACAACTATTGGCTGAAAAATCTATATGCAATTTGTTAGTGTCCACAGGTACTTTGGAAAACTCAAAGACACAGCTTCAAGTAAACTACTTAGGAACAAGCATTTGAGCAGGTTGTTATGTGCCATCAAGTCAGCCCTGACTCATAGTGACCCCTCCTTGGGTTTCTGAGACAGTATCACTACAGAAGTAGGATTGCCCAACCTTACTTCTGAGGAGTGGCTGGTGGGTTTGAACCACCAGCCTTCTGGTTAGCAGTCAAGTGCCTTAGGAACGATGCAGTTAGCAGGGACAAAAGTCCTGGGTTAAAGCCTCCACTGTAATTTGTAGAGGAGCCCTGGTGATGGAGTGTTTAAAGCATTGAGCTGCTAAGCAACAGGTCAGCAGTTCGAACCCACCAGCCTCCATGGGAGAAAGATAAGGCAGTCTGCTGCTGTAAAGATTTATAGCCTTGAAAACCCCATGGGGCAGCTCTACCCTGTCCTACAGAGTCCCTTTGAGTCAGAATCAACTCCATGGCAACGGGTTGGGTTTGGTGATTTGCAGACTGGTGGGCTGCACTTGGGTCCTAAGGAGAGGCTATAAAACGCAAGTCCAGTTCCTCTGCCATATAAGGCACATACTCAGAAAGCCTCTGACATGGGAGGGGCAAAGCTAGCTGACGAATGAGAGCGTGGGGAGGCCACGCTTGGCACGAGCTGCTGCAGTTTGGTTTTTCCTTTCAACCCAAACCAGGCGGCGTCCAGTGGATCCTGACTCTTGGCGCTCCCACGCGTCCCAGTGGCTTGTTTTTCAGGAGATTGTCAGGCCTCTCCTCCAAGTCCCTTCTGGGTGGATGTGAACCTCAAACCTTTTGGTTAGAGCCCAGCGTTTCAACCAGCTGTGCCAGCCAGGGACTTCTTTTACTTTGGAAATTGGACTGAAGCGATAAAACTTACTAACATTAGGTCACGATGCAATTCAACTGAAAAAATACCAATGGTGGAACCCATGCACCCACCATCATTTCCAGGCTGTGAGTGCAAGATGCAACATTCCCAAACTGAGTTTTAAAGAACTTGCCAGTTTTTTTTTTTTTTTTTTTTTTTTTTCCCACCACAATAGATCCCATTCTACACGTCATCCTAGAAGGCTGATAGGAATGGTGCGCAACGTATGCTCTGCTGAGAGGCAGCACAAGAGGCTTAGGCTCTCTGGGTCCCCCTGCCCCTCCTTTCTGGGGACTCTGAACACAGCCAGTATTGGAACAGCCTCAAACCTCCCCTTGGCAATATGACCAAAGAAGGCAGCAACTCTCTCAGGCCTCACTGCCTGTTTTCAACATCGGAATTAGCAAGGACGTTATCTCAAGCAAGAGACTTAGACGAAAAGGAGGCAGAACGTGAGGCCCCTTTAATTCCATATAGAAAGATCTCTATTTCCAGCTAACACGGAAGAGTGTACTTTGGCACATTGGCTGGCTGGCTGACTAGGGAGCCTGGTTACCCTTCCTGATGACAACAACTAAAATCCTCGATTGAAAAGGGAAAGAGACTACAAAGGCTTCACAGAGCTGTGAATGGCAGCAGGACACATGAGGCAGCAAATACAGAAGTACAAGTACCCAGAGCAGGGAGCACGCGGCGAACTTCGTCTGCCCTCTTGTGGCCACTCTGGGTTTTGCCTGGAACAAGTCAAGCCTCAAAGCTTTTTCTAAAGTAGCCCACTCCAATCTGTCAGATGCGCATTGTCTTTGGTGAAATATGATTTTTGGCTTCATGCAAGTAAGCCACACGTAATGACAACTCCCTATATCTTGAGTTACCTGCATGGGTGTTCTGAGGGATATGAGGGTGATGAGGTGGAGCAGAGACTGGCGGGAACAAAAGGGAGGTGGGAACAATTCCAAAATGTCCCTGTAAAAAGCTTGCCTTTCCTGGCAGCATAGGCATCAACCACCAAACCCACTGCCTCGCAGTCAGACCTGACTCATAGCGACCCCTCCTTGGGTTTCTAAGGCGGTATCACTACGGAAGTAGACTGCCCAACCTTCCTTCCGAGGAGTGGCTGGTGGGTTTGAACTGCCAGCCTTCTGGTTAGCAGGGGTGTGGCAAATGGGCTCCACCTGAACAAAACCTCACCTCAACCCCAGCCATATACTCTGGGTGGTTGCTGAGGCATTTTTTCAAACGTAGAGGTTGGCAGATAGTGGCACAGTGGTTAAGCGCTCAGCTGCAAACTAAAAGGTGGACGGTTAGAATCCACCCAGTGGCTCCACAGGAGAAGACCTGGTGATCTGCTCCCATAGATGACAACTTAGTAAACCCCATGGGACACTTCTGTCTGTCACGTGGGGTTGCTATGAGTTGAAAATGATTTGATGGCACCTAACAGTATATGATGACGTGACTTGATGGCAGTGAGTTTGGTTTGGTTTTAGGCAGCAGTATATCCTAGGGGCCCCGAAGGTGCAGTGGTTAAAGTGCTCAGCTGCTAACACAAAGGTGGGCGGTTTGAACCCACCAAGTGTTCCACGAAAGCAAGATGAGGCAGTCTGCTTCCATAGAGATTCAGCCTTGGAAAGGAAACATGTGAGGATGCACTGCGTGAACAGGACTGTGCAGAAAAAGCCACTCACAGCCAGGCTTGATGGGAACGGCCGCTGTGCTGGCTCTCTCAAAAACCAAACTGGGGCATTGTCCACGCAAACTACATTAGCTTGTGCCCTTTGGCCCAATGATTCTACTTCTAGGAACACATCCCACTGCACACGTCTACAGAATGGGAGAGCAAGGATACTGCCACAGGACAGCATGCCAAGATACACAACAGTACCTACGAGTAGGTCACAGGAAATCATGGAAAGAATTATATCTGTGCACACGATGGAGTATTACACAGCTGTGAAAACAACAGAGCATATCTATTGCACAGCTACGGAATCAATGCTAAGAGAAACAGTTTTTCTTTTAGACACAATGAAAATCTGCATAGAAGCAAAAAGAGGAGGTGTATATTTGAATATGTATCTCATTGCGATATATATCATTGGGGAAAACTAATCACTAGAAAAGGACATCATGTTTGGTAACACAGAAGGTTACTGAAACTGAGGGCAACCCTCCATGAGACGGACTAACACAAAAGCCAAAGCCGCACACTCAAACATGCCAACGATCATGAGGACGGCACAGGACTGGGCGGCGTTTTGTCCTGTTGCATGATCACCAGGAGTCGGAGCCAATGCCACGGCAACATAGGAAACCCGAGACTATGCGAATAACCTATTTGTGACAGTGGCAAGAAGAGCAGCATCTGGAGGAGGAAACGGGGGACCGTACTCGTTTGTACTTTTTGCTAAAAGCATGTATGCTATTTTGAGACCACGTATAAGAAACAGGGTTGGAACAGGAAAGGAAAAAGCCACACAAGTTTGTGGCACCTATCATGCTTTTAACTTATTAGCTGCCAAAATCATTTTCCTGGCTAAAGAAAAAGTATTCCAGTCATAAAAGGCCACATGTTCTATGTTTCTGTTCACGGGAAGTGTCCAGAATAGGTAGGTTCGTAGAGACAGGGGCAGGAGCGGAGCGGGGAGGGGGAATGGAGAATGACTGCTAATGTGTTGAGGGTTTCTTTCTGGGGTGATAGAATGCTCTGGAATTAGATAGTGGTGATGGTTGCACGACTCTGATTATACTAGAAAACACTGGCTTGCACACTTTTAAATGGGTGAACCGTAAGCTAAACAGACCAGAGCTCAATTAAACTGTTATTTTCTCAAAAGTTCCATCTTCTGACGCTCACGGGCCCCCTGCCCCACTGCTCCACCTCTAACCTGCCCTCAGGCCAGAAGACAAGCCATACTGGAATGCAGATTCACTCAAGGAAGTGTCCAAAGTAATGGCACTTGACTTTTAGTAGAAATTACCAGAATATTTTCCACATTCGCTGCTTTGTCCACCAGATGCCACCCTGCAACCAAGCCTCACTGTCCTGGTGGAGGGCGATTTTGTGACCATGGCACAGTAGTGTGCTAACCGCCCGCAGCCGTCTGGGGGCTTTTCCAGCCAAGTGCCTGCTTCCGCCCTTCATCTACTCGTGTCTCCTTCCTGTCAACAGCCACTTCCGGCCGCTGCCGGAGGCCCCTGTGCAGCTGCAGCCCCACCCCCAGTGCCAGGAACCAAGCAGGCCTGTCCCACAAGCTGCAGGCAGGCAGCTCTTCTAAGGATCAGGCCGCGATGCCCTGCTCCATGACAGCTTTCCGATGTGCTCAGTAGCTCTCACACTTGGCTCGGGAGTCTTCAGCTGGGTGCCAGGCATGGGCACTTGCATTTTAAAGACGTCCCAAAGCTCAACAGTCACCAGCCACCCTCATCCACACTTCCAGAAGCAGGCTTCCAGCTCACACCTGCGAACCGTCTTGCCTTCTGGCTCCGTGGGCCAAGGTCTCCTCTGCTCCGTTCTTTCTGGAGGCCCCCTCCCTGGCCACTGGAGTTCCTGGGTGGTACAAACGGTTCACATGCTTGGCTGCTAACTTAAACAGTGGAGGTTCGAGTCCACTCAGGGGCACTTGGAAGGCCTGGGGCTCTGCTTCCGAAAGCTCAGTCGTTGAAAACCTGCAGAGCACAGTTCTGCTCTGACACACACGGGGGCGCCAGGGGTCAGAGTCAACTCTGCGCCAACTGGTTTGGGTTTTAACTGGGCCTCAAGACTCCATTTCACCTTCTCCCCCGTTTTTTCAGAGAGCAGCTACAAAGCTCCACAAGGTCACTTGGAGTCACCAAGTCGCACCCCATAGTATGCCATGGGTCTAACCATCTGGTGGCCTGGTCATCCCGAGTGTCTCTGCAAAGCCCCTCAGAACTGCCGCTCAGTGCCAATTTCAGCAGGCCCCAACAATTGTCTGTGTACCATGCAGGCTCCTATCCTTTCTTTTACCTTAGTTTATTTGTAAACTTGATTCTTTCATACCCGGGCACAGTGTTCTGTGATGCCACGGTATCGGCAGGCTGCTTCCCTGTTTGCTAACTCTGGATTCTCTGTGACCTGCACAGGGCGTGCTTACAGAGCCCCGTGCCGTGGAATTCTCCCTGGAAAGGGCCTTGGCAGCCTGGGACCACTTTTTCAGAGAATTTTCTCAGCACAGGGATTCCCTCTGCCACGCGCGGGTCACCATAGCAAATTTGCAGGTGGTAGAGGCTCTGAGCTTTCATTCCTCATGGGAGGTATTTTCTCTCCCCATCCAAAGGCCCAGGTGCAAAGACCAGCTTCCTGGCTTTTTTCCCTGGACCAGTGAGGAAAAAGTCTGCTTTCACCTCCCTTCTTCATGGACGTCTCTACATGACCATTAGACTCCAAGCCACCTTCTATACCTGATACCCACCCACCTGCCATCTGCCCCTGCCTCAGACCCCTGCATATGCCTTTCAGCCCCTTCTTCACCTTTGGGCCTCCACAATTTCCTTTTCTTTCTTACTGTGCCACATACACCAATTTGTTTTCTTAACTGTGTTGTTTTAGCTACCATTTCCCAGCATTTGTGGTAGGAAAAAGGAGCTCTGGTGGTATAGTGCCTAAGGCATCTGACTGCTAACCCGAAGGCTGGCAGTTCAAACCCACCAGCCACTCCATAGAAGGAAGACTGGGCATTCTACTTCTGTAAAGATTTACTGCCTTAGAAACCCAAAGGGGGTCACTATGAGTTGGAACCGACTCGATGGCAGTGAGTTTGGTTTCATTTTGGTGGTAGGAAAGACTAGCCCAGTCAAATGTGTTGTTAATTAATTTAATTAGTTCAAAGCCTTAGTTTCCAGTTAGGCTCATTACTTTAAAAAAAGAAAAAAATACACATATTCTTTGCTGAGGACAAACTTTTCTGTCATGAATGATGCAATTTTAATAAATTTCTTTTCTAAGGAGAAGTTGATTGTCTACTGATTTGCAAAATAAAATGTTAAGTAATTGAAAACATGACAGGACCCCTGGTAGCACAACGGTTAAGTGGTCAGCTGCTACTCAAAAGCTTGGCCATTCTAACCCACCTAGAGGCTCCATGGGAGACAGACCGAGTGAAGTGCTTCTGTAAATACTACAGCCTGGAAGACCCTATGGGGGTCGCTAGGAGTAAGAATCAACTCCATGATGCCTAACGACAATTTAAAACACACATCATTCTCTACAGGGAGGAAACCCAAACCAAACCAAACTTGTTATCTTGGAGTTGATTTCAACTTCCAGCAGCGGCCCTTGAGGACAGAGTAGAACTGCCCCCGGGGGTTTCCAAGCCTGTCGATCTTCATGGAAGCAAAACTCAAACCAAACCCACTGCTATGGAGTCCATTCTGACTCACAGCGCCCCTAGAGGACAAAGTGGAACTGCCCCACAGGGTCTCCAAGGCTGTCATCTTTATGGAAGCAGACTGCCACATCTTTCTCCCACAGAGTGGCTGGAGGATTGGAACCACCGACCTTTTGTCCGCAGCTGAGCACTTTAACCACTGCGCCACCTTAACCACCTTTCCTGGTATGGAAAGGATCCTCAACCTGCAAGGCAGGAGCCAGCAGTGTACGGCGTGTGCATTACCTTTTGGCACCGCCCGCGTCCGGGGAGACGATGATGCAGTTCCTCCACTCGGCGATGTTCTCCCGGATCCATTGCAGGACCGCTGGCTCTGCGTATAGGTTATCCACGGGGATGTCAAAGAAGCCCTGCAGGGGACAGGAGCACAGTAGTGGGGGGGGGGTGGTTTGCTTTTCTTTTTTATTTGAGATAACCTCTTTCATGAAATAAAATGTACATCTCTTATTAAGAAGACGACTCAATAACAGAAGGAAATAAAAAGACAGACATGTTCCAGAAGCCCACTAGCACCTATCCATTACCTTTCGGACTTGTTATATCTTCTTACGACCGTCTGGATTTCTGAGGAATAAGACTGGCTTTGCAGGGCAGCAGGGGGAGGGAGGGGTGGAATTTGTTGTTTCTTAAACAACAATTATAAACCAAATACTACCTACACTTTATGCCACAGAGTGAGTACAGTGTAGTTGGCCTGTTTTGTGGATGAAGGAGCTGGGTTATGAAGAGGTTAAAGTACACACAGTAGGACTGCGCCATTCTAATCATTTTCTCAAAGTCAGGATGGAATTATATAGAGCTCACCACCAAGCAGTCCCTCGGTTGCCAGCAGTTAAAGCACTCGGCTGCTGACTGAGGTCGGAGGTTTGCGCTCACCCAGGCACCTTGGAAGAAAGGCCTGGGAACCGACTTCTGAAAAATAAGCCCCTGAAAATGCCACAGAGCCCAGCTCTGCTCTGACACACGAGGGGCTGCTAGGAGCTGGGGTCGACTCGAAGGCACCAGCTTTGTTTTCTAAGCAAGAAGCCATTCCTATGTTGCCAAAACTGATTGGGGAGGCAGTATGGATTGAATTGTGACCCCCCAGAAACAAACATTGAAACCCTAACCCTTGGACCTTCTAATACAACCCAGTGTGGAAAGAAGGGTCTCTCTGTTGTGATGTTAATGAGGCCATCCTACAGACATAGCCTGGCTTCCAAGTCTAATCCCCTCTGCACACTGCCTGATGAAAAGGGCAAACAACTACAGACACACACACACACACACACAGAGGAAGGACACCAAGTGACAACAGAGGCAGATGCATCTCTAAGCAGCAAAGGAACCCCCACAGAAGGAACTGACACAGCCAAGACTCCAATTTGGACTTGTCGCCTCCAGAACTGGGAGGCAGCACAGCTCTTCTGGGATCTGTATTATGGCAGCAAGATGGGGGACAGAGCGGTGCTGGAAACAGGGTCCATTAACACCAAACTAGATTTCCAAGCTCAGTAAAGACTACGATTTCCCAGAGTCGTCTAGAGGAACTCAAGGTCAAGTGGTTCCCAAAAGGATTCAAGTTGACAGCATTTCAGCACACCCCTAAGCTCCTGATCACAAGCACCTGAAAGCAGCACACGGCCGATACCTGGATCTGAGAGGCATGCAGGTCCATGGTGATGATGTGATCCGCCCCGGCCACCGACAGCATATTGGCCACAAGTTTCGCAGAAATCGGAGCCCGGCTCTACAAGATAAAGGTAAGGATTTAATACCTTTAACTTAATGGGCAAAGAGGAGGAAGCAGAGGAATGCAGTGAGGTTGTGCCCACTGAGAGATATGAGAGAAAGAGAAATCACAAGAGAAAATCAACACAAATACTAAAGTAACTTGCATATGTCGTAAAGGAGCCCCAATGGTGCAATGGTTCTATGCTTGGCTACTAACCAAAAAGGTTGGTGGTTCAAACCCACAAGCATTTCCATAGAAGACGAGATCTGGCCATCTGTTATCATGGAGATTATAGTCTAGGAAATCCTGTGGGGCAGTTCTACCCAGTCCTGTAGGGTTGCTATGAGTTTGAGAAGAAATACAGCCAGAAGGCTCCTACAAGCGAGGATGGTGAGACTTTGTCTCACACACTTTGGACATGTTATCAAGAGGGCCCAGTGTCTGGAGAAGGGCGTCACGCCTGATAAAGTAGAGCGACAGTTTAAAAGAGGCAGACCCTCAACGAGATGGACTGACACAGTGGCTCAAACAACTGGATCAAGCGTAGCCAGGGCTGGGAAGCTGGCACAGGACCAGGCGGGGTTTCGTTCTGTTGTACACATGGTCGTTATGAGTCAGAGTTGACTCGACAGCAACAACAAAAACAACAGTAACATGTGCTGCAGTAACAAAAGAGATATATTCATTCCATCTTTATCCATCAGATAGTCATTGATCGTATACTACTAGAGACGGGTATTCAGTCGAGAACAAACAAAGTATCAGATAAGCAAACCATTAAATATACAGGTACTGGCTGACTTATACCAAGGCTCCATTGTAACGCCTCTATTGTAAATCAGTTCTGGCGTAAATTGAACGCCTTGGTTTTTTCTTTTTAGTTTTATTATCAGTATGTTTATAAATCTGATCTTTGTCTTTGGGGACTGGAAACATTACAACTCACACACACACACACACACACACACATATAAACACACATGTCCATTAAAAAAAGGATGATACTGGCATTTTGTCAGTTGCAGTAATAATTCTACTTGTGGAAAGTTCTGGATCATCTGGATTATCCCTGGGAATAGGAATGACGTTTCTAGTCAGAAAATAAGTGGGAGTTGTCTGGTCCTTTTCCGTGCTGCAACACTGTATGTAGTACCTATTACTAATGATACAATGTATAAAAATACACAGATGGTCATAAGTGCGGTTTGTCCTAACTCAAATATGACGTAAGTTGAGGACTAACTGGATACATGTAATAACACAATTTATATAATTAAAATTGTGGTGATTGTGCAGAAGAAAAATAATAGGTATTGAGAGACAGACAACTGCAGAAAGGATACAAAGTTTAAACAGGCCATTTGTTAGAGGCCCCTCTGAGGAAATCATTTTTAAGGTGAGGGGAGCAAAGGCAGGGAGAACATTCCAGTGAGAAAGCAGCACCTGAAATCACACATTCAGGGGCCTGAACACAGCCCTCATGGTCACAGGCAGTGGTCAAGGAGAGATGTGCTAAGACCAAACCAGAAGGGGAGGCAGAGACAGATCCTGCAGAGCCCTGACGGCCAAGGTCAGCAATTAAACCATAGTGTATATACTGACAGCTAGAAGCTCACATGGGTATAAACTAAACAAAAACCAGATGGACAAGGCACTTCTTACGGTGATTTATAATTTATTATTTAGAGGAACAGAAGTGTCATTCTTACTGACATTAAGTCCTTTTTAAAGAAAGAGCTCTGGTAGCATAGTGCCTAAGGCACTTGACTGCTAACCAGAAGGCT